TTGCTGGTTTGAGTCCCGGCTGGGTCAGTTGGCATTTCTATATGGAGTTTGTATGTTCTCCCCATGTTGGTGTGAATTTCCTCCAGTTTCCCTCACAGTCCAAAGACGAATGAATTGGATGAGATGAATTGAATAAACTAAATTGGCCGTAGTTTACGTGTGTGAGAGTGTATGGATGTTTCCCAGTACTGGGTTGCAGCAGAAAAACATCAGCTGGGTAAAACATATGCTGGATAAGTTGGCGGTTCATTCCGCTGTGGCAACCCCAGATTAATAAAGCGACTAAGCCGAAAAGAAAATGAATGAATGAATGAAGGAACAAAACTTTTTGGTACTTCAGAAATAAATAAAATAAAGTAATAATTTGTTTACATACAATTATATACAATTTAGGAAGTGAAGGAAGGTCTTTTTAATTTTGTTACAAAGCAGTTTTGTTGTATTAGTTATAAATAAACATGATTAATACACACAATTTGTACATAATGCCCCTCTTATAAGCTTCTTAGCCATGCTAGAACAGTTGATCTAATAATAACATGTTTCTTTAATGAAGTCATGGGCAACACCAGTGTGTTGTATAATATAATTAAAAGCTTTGTTTAAATCCATTGGAGGCTCATGCTCAAGTATATATGCTTGAGACACATGCAGAATATCTGAACATCACCAATGACTGCATCAAAGTTTCATAATTTACACCGTTAATGTAAGTCAAAAATATAAGCCTGTTTTCTCAGCTATGGCTGTGAATAAAGATACATTAATACTGTTAAGGGCGACAGTGAGTAGCACAATTGCCTCACAGCAAGAAGGTCATTGGTTCGAGCCTTGGCTGGGTCAGTTGGCATTCCTGTGTGGAGTTTTCATCTTCTCCCCGTGTTCGTGTGGGTTTCCTTTGGGTGCTCCGGTTTCCCCCACAAGTCTAAAGACATGTGGAACAGGTGAATTGGGTAAGCTAAAATGTCCATTTGTGTGTGATTGAGTGTGTATGGGTGTTTCCCAGAGATGGGTTGCAGCTGGAAGGGCATCCGCTGCGTAAAACAGATGCTGGAAAAGTTGGCGGTTCATTCCACTGTGGCAACCCCAGATTATTAAAGGGACTAAGCCGAAAATGAATGAAAGAATACTGTTAATTAGCTTAAAGCAATGGTCTCAAACTCAACTCCTGAAGAGCCGCACTCTGCATAGTTTATCTCCTACCACCTCCAACTCACAACAATAGTTTCTAGTAGTCTTGAACACATTGATTAGTTGGATGAGCTGTGTTTGATTAAGGTTGGACAAAAACTGTGCAGTGCTGCGACCGTCCAGGAATCAAGTTTGAGACCTATAACCTATAATGACAAAGCATTGCATGCACAGAAAGCTATCTTAGATTATAAGTTTATTATCTGTAAGCACATGCCTCGGTCAATGGTAGTGAGGCCTGAAGGATTGCTCTCACACCCTGATGCACAGCTCAGATCAGCTCCAGCGCCTCCACCAGACTCTTATATAACAAAGTCAGGAAGGACAAAAAATAGGACAAGCACACCTGTACATGGAAATGCCATTCTGCTTAATATCTAGAAGCAGTATTAAAGGGACAGTTCACACAAAAATGTCAATTCTGTCATTTACTCACTTGTTCCAAACTCGTTTGATTTCATTTCTTCTGTTGAATACAAAAGAAGATACTTTGAAGAATGCTGGAAACGTGTAACCATTGACTTCAATTGCATTTGTTTTTAAAGTCAATGGTTACAGGTTTTTAGATCTATTCTTTAGTGTTCAGCAGAAGAAAAAAACTCAAATTTCTTTTTTAACCACTTGAGGGTCAGTAAATTTGTATTTTTGGGTAAGCTATCTCTTTATAAGAATCCCATTCATACTACAGTAGTAATATAGTCTGTGATTGAGCTTGGTTATGAATTAGTTCTCATAAAGCATGTGTTTATATGAGAAAGAAAAAAATGTTATGGCAATAAAGGATGAATTCCCTGAATATTTCTGTTATGAAAACACATGGCAGAGATTTGGGGCTGTTTACATGACAATTTTACTAAACATTAAACCTTTTATGCTGTTTGACAGTTCATTTACACATCACAGTGCCATGAAAACACAAATTTTTGAAAGCAGTTAAAATTATATTGGAATCATCTAGTTTTAACTTAAAAATGTACTGACATTGTGTGTGTAGCAAATTATGTGTGTAGGTATGCAGGTTCTTTACAAACTTGACTAAAAAGCAGCACTGTCCTTGTGCAAGTGCATTTTTTCTAACTGGCCTGACATGAAAATTACAGGGTGTTTAGGCATGTATGCAAACCATTTCAAAGTCACACTATGTTGTTATGTAAATATAATGTACAATAGAGAATTTATAAATTTGATGGTCCAGGATCAACATTAGTGAATTTGTATATTGTTGGTCCAGGATCAACATTAGTGTATTTATATATTGATGGTCCAGGATCAACATTAGTGAATTTATATATTGATCAACATATAAATTCACATAAATTCATTGATGGTCCAGGAGCAACATGTGTGAATTTATATGTTGATGGTCCAGGATCAACATGTGTGAATTTATATATTGATGGTCCAGGATCAATATTAGTGAATTTATAAATTGATGGTCCAGGATCAACATTAGTGAGTTTATATATTGATGGTCCAGGATCAACATTACTGAATGTATAAATTGATGGTCCAGGATCAACATGTGTGAATTTATAAATTGATGGTCCAAGATCAGCATTAGTGAATTTATATATTGATGGTCCAGGATCAACATTAGTGAATTTATATATTGATGGTCCAGGATCAACATTAGTGAATTTATATATTGATGGTCCAGGATCAACAGTAGTGAATTTATATATTGATGGTCCAGGATCAACATTAGTGAATTTATATATTGATGGTCCAGGATCAACATTAGTGAATTTATATATTGATGGTCCAGGATCAACATTAGTGAATTTATAAATTGATGGTCCAGGATCAACATTAGTGAATTTATATATTGAGGGTCCAGGATCAACATTAGTGAATTTATATATTGATGGTCCAGGATCAACAGTAGTGAATTTATATATTGAGGGTCCAGGATCAACATTAGTGAATTTATATATTGATGGTCCAGGATCAACATTACTGAATGTATAAATTGATGGTCCAGGATCAACATGTGTGAATTTATAAATTGATGGTCCAAGATCAGCATTAGTGAATTTATATATTGATGGTCCAGGATCAACATTAGTGAATTTATATATTGATGGTCCAGGATCAACATTAGTGAATTTATATATTGATGGTCCAGGATCAACATTAGTGAATTTATATATTGATGGTCCAGGATCAACATTAGTGAATTTATATATTGATGGTCCAGGATCAACATTAGTGAATTTATATATTGATGGTCCAGGATCAACATTAGTGAATTTATATATTGATGGTCCAGGATCAACAGTAGTGAATTTATATTTTGATGGTCCAGGATCAACATGTGTGAATTTATATATTGATGGTCCAGGATCAACATGTGTGAATTTATATATTGATGGTCCAGGATCAACATTAGTGAATTTATAAATTGATGGTCCAGGATCAACATTAGTGAATTTATATATTGATGGTCCAGGATCAACATTAGTGAATTTATATATTGATGGTCCAGGATCAACATTAATGAATTTGTATATTGATCGTCCAGGATCAACATTAGTGAATTTATATATTGGTGGTCCAGGATCAACATTAGTGAATTTATAAATTGATGGTCCAGGATCAACATTAGTGAATTTATATATTGGTGGTCCAGGATCAACATTAGTGAATTTATATATTGGTGGTCCAGGATCAACATTAGTGAATTTATATATTGATGGTCCAGGATCAACAGTAGTGAATTTATATTTTGATGGTCCAGGATCAACATTAGTGAATTTATATATTGATGGTCCAGGATCAACATTAGTGAATTTATATATTGATGGTCCAGGATCAACATTAGTGAATTTATATATTGGTGGTCCAGGATCAACATTAGTGAATTTATATATTGATGGTCCAGGATCAACATTAGTGAATTTATATTTTGATGGTCCAGGATCAACATTAGTGAATTAAAAAATGTAATGGTCCAGAATTTATATGCAAACAAGAAACACTGCATTAATTTGTATTTTTTTTGTATTAATTTGTCCAACCATGTCTTTAAAATATGGCAATTCATGTCACGGCAGTATTTTTAATGGAGTTTTGCGCTAGCTTGCTGCTAATGACAGCGCCTGCTTTTAAAGTTTTTCATCTCTTTTTTCACTTTAACAACCAAATGGATGCTTAAGTCTATTTAACTGATCCTATTTAAATTACATTACAACATCAACACTGTATGAGGAACCTTATAATATTGAAGGTAGTCACCGGAAGTTCATCATTGGGTGCAAAACCCTAGCTGTGCATAGAACCCATTGTTCAGCATTAATTTAATCTCCGGTGTCACATGGTCCTTTAGTAATTATTCAAATAAGCTAATTTAAACCTTATTAAACATTTCTTATTATCATCACCATTGAATAAAACTTGCAGCTGGAAGGGCATCCAGTATTTAAAACATATGCTAGATAAGTGGTTCATTCCACTGTGGCGACCACTGATGAATAAAGGGACTAAGCCAAAAGAAAATTAATGAATGTTGTATACGTGACAGATATTGTATGCTTGAGAACTTGTATGTCATATATGAAATTTGCATTTACTGCCATGTATGTAAAGTTCTATATGGGTAATACTTTACATTTTTGTTTTTGACATTATGACTGACAGTGTACACGTGCACATATTTCAGATTCTGTGCTGTGACGGTATCTCTGCCTCATCTTCATCACAGGTGTCATGTGAGAAGAAAATCTTCAACAGGTGTCACATTAGACTGACGAGTCGTCTGACATGCAAATAATCATGTGCACAAAATAACTGTCTCTTGAAATCAAACTACATCATGTTCAATCTCTTTATTTTTCTTAAGCATGAATGTCCAGAATTCTAGAATGATTATGTTTTAAAGTGGATCAGATGCTGACGAACCCTCATCATGGGGCTGGATCAGATCAGAGTTTACCCTTCCTCTTTTTGATGCGAGTCTTCCTCTTGGTATTTGCGTCAATGATTGCCTGCGACTGATGCTTCAGGCTGAATCGGGTGATGATATCGCCCTCATCATCGCCGCTGTCCTCCTCATCTGTTGACAGAAAACACATGCAGGTGTGTGATACCTTTTTTCTAATAAATATGTCAGTTCTGGTATATTATGGGGCAGTTGTGGTTAGGGAATTAGACTTGTAATTAGACAGGTTGCAGGTTCAATTCCTCGTCAAGGAAAATAGGGGGAGTGAATAAAGCACACTCTTACCACATTTGATACCTAGCTGAGGTGCCCTTGAGCGAGACACCTTACCCCTAATTGTTCCACGGGCGCTGGAAGCAAAAAATACCCACTACTCACTTCACTTCCCTCCAATATAGATCCACAGTATATACATACTGTACACTCATATTATATTATTCATTCATTCATTCATTTTCTTTTCGGCTTAGTCCCTTTATTAATCAGGGGTCACCACAGCAGAATGAACCGTCAACTTATCCAGCACATGTTTAACGCAGCGGATGCCCTTCCAGCTGCAACCCATCTCTGGGAAACATCCATACACACTCATACACTATGGACATTTAGCCTACCCAATTCACCTGTACCGCATGTCTTTGGACTGTGGGGAAAACCAGAGCACCCGGAGGAAACCCACATGAACATGGGGAGAACATGCAAACTCCACACAGAAACGCCAACTGAGCCAGCCAAGGTTCGAACCAGCGACCTTCTTGCTGTGAGGTGACAGCACTACCTACTGCTCCACTGTGTCGCCATATTATATTATATTATATTATATTATATTATATTATATTATATTATATTATATTATATTATTTTACATTATATTATATTATATTATTTTATATTATATTATTTTATATTATATTATATTATATTATTTTACATTATATTATATTATATTATTTTATATTATTTTATATTATTTTATATTATATTATATTATATTATTTTACATTATATTATATTATATTATTTTATATTATATTATATTATATTATTTTACATTATATTATATTATATTATTTTATATTATTTTATATTATTTTATATTATATTATATTATATTATATTATATTATTTTATATTATTTTATATTATATTATATTATATTATATTATTTTATTTTATATTATATTATTTTATATTATATTATTTTATATTATATTATATTATATTATTTTATGTTATGTTATGTTATTTTATATTATATTATATTATATTGTTTTATGTTATGTTATGTTATGTTATGTTATGTTATGTTATGTTATGTTATTTTATATTATATTATATTATATTATATTATATTATATTATATTATATTATATTATATTATATTAAATTATATTAGATTATTTTATATTATATTATGTTATATTATATTATCTAATATTATATTATATTATATTATATTATATTATATTATATTATATTATATTATTTTATGTTATGTTATGTTATGTTATGTTATGTTATATTATATTATATTTTATTATATTATATTATATTATATTATATAGAATTCAGAAGGTCATGATTCCCACCTGATAAATAATTACTTTATATAAATTTATTTTACATTCTAAGGAGATACAAAACACAATCGTTTCAGCAAAATGGCTTCCTGAGTGTGTGGCACAATCTTCTCGCTTCACTCTATTATTCCAGTCAATCACTTTACATCATTAGTTAGACGACTATTCAATAGTTAAAAACAATCTCATTTTTGTTTCAATGTAGCTAACAACACTAGAATTATTTCCTTCACCTGTAAAAACATTATCTCCATTGTACAGGAAAAAGCCATTTCATTTATCATCATTAATACATTTCATGTATTCATCAACTGATACAATGAAATTCCGACAATCCAAAACATTAAAAATACATTTTTATATCATTATTTGTTTCATTATTCACTCAAAATCCATGATTCACAATGCTTTAAATCAGTGGTCACCAAACTTGTTCCTGGAGGGCTGGTGTCCTGCAGATTTTCGCTCCAACCCTAATCAAACACACCTGAACAAGCTAATCAAGGTCTTACTAGGTATACTTGAAACACCCAGGCAGGTGTGTTGAGGCAAGTTGGAGTTAAACCCTGCAGGGACACCGGCCCTCCAGGACCTAGATTGGTGACCCCTGCTTTAAATAAACGATAATACATTAAAGAAATGTAACCCTTTTGGTGTTACTGATTTTAATTTATCAATCCAGAACACTGCTCTTTGTAATCATTTTTATTTAGATTATTATATATAGAGTTGAAGTCAGAATTATTAGCCCCCCTTTTCTTTTTTTAAATATTTCCCAAATGATGTTTAACAGAGCAAGGACATTTTCACAGTATGTCTGATAATATTTTTTTCTTCTGGAGAAAGTCTTATTTGTTTTTAATTCAGCTAGAATTAAATCAGTTTTAAATTTTTTGAACACTGTTTTAAAGACAAAATTATTATAGCTATATAATATGATGTATAGCTATTTTTTTTTCGATAGTCTACAGAACAAACCATCATTATGCAATAACTTGCCTAATTACCCTGCCTAGTTAACCTAATTAACCTAGTTAAGCCTTTAAATGTCACTTTAAGCTGTATAGAAGTGTCTTTAAAATATCTAGTCAAGTATTATTTAGTCATCATGGCAAAGATAAAATAAATCAGTTATTAGAAATTAGCTATTAAAACCATAATGCTTCGAAAGCTGTTGAACAAATAAGGGACTCATGAATAACCATAACAAAGCAAAAAAAAAAAAAAAACAGTCATAGATCATCCACAAATCAAGGGTTCACAAAGTTTTGCATGGGTTAATTAATAAATTTAGGTTGTTTTTTTACTATATGCAGATATATTTTATGTAAAATGAATGGTACTAAATAAAAAATAGCATGCATTTATATAAAAAGATTTTCACATTTTCACAGATATTGTCAGAGGTTGATAAACTTTCAATTGCCACATACAGTTGAAGTCAGAATTATTAGCCCCCTTCGATTTTTTTTCTTCTTTTTTAAATATTTCCCAAATGATGTTTAACAGAGCAAGGCAATTTTCACAGTATGTCTGATAATATTTTTTTTCTTCTGGAGAAAGTCTTATTTGTTTTATTTCGGCTAGAATAAAAGCAGCTTTTAATTTTAGGGACAAAATTATTAGCCCCTTTAAGCTATATATTTTTTTCGATAGTCTACAGAACAAACCATCGTTATACAATAACTTGCCTAATTACCCTAACCTGCCTAGTTAACCTAATTAACCTAGTTAAGCCTTTAAATGTCACTTTAAGCTGTATAGAAGTGTCTTGAATAATATCTAGTAAAATATTATTTACTGTCATGATGGTAAAGATAAAACAAATCCATTATTATAAATGAGTTATCAAAACTATTATGTTTAGAAATGTGTTGAAAAAATCTGCTCTCTGTTAAACAGAAATTGGGGAAAAAATAAACAAGCGGTCTAAAAATTCAAGGGGGCTAATAATTCTGACTTCAACTGTATATATGGGCTTTATATGGCAAGTATACAGTATGTATCCCCATTCAAAATACATTTGACACTTCATGCCTCCAAAAATAATTAATATCAATTAAAAAACTAGATTTGGAAGAAATCATTGAGATAAAATAATATGTGATCATGTGATAAAAATATGATATTATGAGTCAAAGTTATGTCTAAGCACTGCAATAAATATAAGCTTTCTGCCTTTGTAATCATTTTCAGCATTTAATTAGTTTTTATTATTTAGATTCTGATATTTTCAGCTTAGCTCATGCTGTACTTTTAATCTGAATTTTATAACTTAGTATTTCAAAATTTGTACTTTTTAAATCATAACTATGACTTTGTATTAGGCATCTCATGTTATGTAACAGATATGTGATTTCATGTGGAAGGAGTGTCTCACCGTCAAAAGGATCCTGTTTGTGGGCCTCATGCAGCTGAATGCGAGTGTTGTACTGGGGTATTTTTCTCGCTATAGTGGCATGGAACTGCAGGGAAGCAGAAAAAATATGAGTAAGGGCTTTTTTACAGCTTTAAATAAAACCAAACAAAGATAGCACATGTTCTTAAATTAAACAAAACTCTTCATAAGGCCAAAATATAAAAACACTAATGGCGTCCCTAACCTCTTCCTCCTCCATCTCCTTCATGATGGTTGCCAGATCATTGCCCTGCAGTTCCTCTTTCAGCAGCATGAGTTTCTCCTCAGCCTCAGACATCAGCTCCAGTATGTGCTCGTCTGAGTCTGGAGACAGCTGGGGTTCCGGACCCTTCATCTGCCAGAGACACAGAAAAATATTTATATTACAGGGTTTACAAATACACTCGCCGGCCACTTTATTAGGTACACCTTACTAGTACCGGGTTGGACCCGCTTTTGCCTTCAGAACTGCCTTAATCCTTTGTGACATAGGTTCTACAAGGTACTGCAAATATTCCTCAGAAATGTTGGTCAATATTGACATGATAGCATCATGCAGTTGCTGCAGATTTGTCGGCTGTAGAACTATGATGCGAATCTCCAGTTCCCCCACATCCCAAAGGTGCTCTGTTGGATTGAGCTCTGGTGACTGTGGAGACCATTTGAGTACAGTGAACTCATAGTCATGGTCAAGAAACCAGTCTGAGAGGATTCACGCTTTATGACATGGCATGTAATCCTGCTGTATGTAGCTATCAGAAGATGGGTACACAGTGGTCATAAAGTGATGGACATGGTTAGCAACATACTCAGGTAGGCTGTGGCGTTTACACGATGCTCAGTTTGTACTAATGGGCCCAAAGTGTGCCAAGAAAATATCCCTCACACCATTACACTACCACCACCAGCCTAAACTACTGATACAAGGCAGGATGGATCCATGCTCTCATGTTGTTGACACCAAATTCTGAGCCTACCATCTGAATGTCGCAGCAGAAATAGAGACTCATCAGATCAGGCAGCGTTTTTATAATCTTCTATTCTTCAATTTTGGTGAGCGAATTATAGCCTCAGTTTCCTGTTCTTATCTGACCAGTGACACCCAGTGTGGTCTTCTGCTGCAGTAGTCCATCAGCCTCAAGGTTTGACGTGTCATGCATTCAGAGATGCTCTTCTGCATACCTCAGTTGTAACAAGTGGTTATTTGAGTTACTGTTGCCTATCAGCTCCAACCAGTCTGGCCATTCTCCTTTGACCTCTGGCATCAACAAGGCATTTGCGCCCCCAGAACTGCCACTCACTGGATATTTTCTCTTTTTCGGACCATTCTCTGTAAACCCTAGAGATGGTTGTGCAAGAATCTCCAAGTAGATCAGCAGTTACTGAAATACTCAGACCAGCCCGTCTAGCACCAACAACCATGCCATGTTCAAAGTCACTTAAATCACCTTTCTTCCCCATTCTGATGCTGAGTTTTATCTACAGAAGGTTGTCTTGACCATGTCTACATGCCTAAATGCATTGAGCTGCTGCCATGTGATTGTCTGTTTAGAAAGTTGCATTAACGAGCAGGTGGGCAGATGTACCTAAAAAAGTGGCTGATGAGTATAGATTAGTCAACACAACAGAGGGTTTTTACATATATGTCTTAAATGTACTACAAAAACTGCTTATTTTAAGGGTCAGGGAGAGGGAGAAAAAGGTCAAATAAATTACAAACAATTGAAAGTTTTATTGGTGCAATAAACCTTTAAGGGAAAGTACATTTTCAGATATTAAAATTGACAAAACCATTTGGTCATTTGTTTTTTTTCTTGTTGAACACATAAGAAGATATCTTCCTGTGCATTCTGCATAAGAAAAACACCCAAATAGTTTTAACCAAATGAAAGGTGAGTAAATAATGACAGAACTTTCTTTTTTGGGTGATCTATCGCTTTATCATTTTGAAAAGATTTCAGGCAAGAAAACCCATGACCTCTTGAAGCTTCAGGAAAGCTGAAGTTCCTAGAAGCCTATTTGTAGAAAACATGTCTATTATTAGCCAGGGTTATAAAGGGGCATGTTTTGTGGAGCATGTTTGATGTGTTTGGCTGGACTGATTAGTACCGGTGGGATGTGCTGTAGTTTGTCGCTGAGCTGCTGCACTCCTGCTCTGACAGTGTTTAGTATGTGTGTGAGTCTGTCCAGATGATCTTTAGCTGCATCACGACGCTGCTGCTCCTGCTGTAGACGAAGCTCACACTCCTGCAGCATCTGCTCCGCGCTGAACAACGAAACAAGAGAATTACAAAGCTCACCAATGAGAATAATTGTATTATATAATGCCTTTCAGAAAATGTCACCACTAAGGTTGCATGTCTACTGAAGCGTTCTTGCAAAGCTGAAAACACAAGGTAAGGGTTGCACCAGCTGTGAGTTCATAAGTCCATGCTTGAGGTTTCTTAAAGGTACAGTTCACCCAAAAAAATTCTTATTTTACTATTTACTTTCCCTTAATGGTTATAAACATTCACAGGTTCCTTTATTTTAACACAATCAAAGATATTTTGAAGAAAGCTGAAAATCTTTAACCATTGACTTCCATAGTAGAAAAAACAAATCGTATGGAAGTCAATGGTTACAGGTTTTCAGCATTCTTCAGAATATCTTCATTTGTTCAACAGAAGAAAGAAACTTATTGAAACTCATTGAAAAGTATTGAAACAAGCTACAAATGATGACATAACTTTCATTTTGGTGTGAACTATCCTTTTAAGTATGTTAGCCAAATGTAATGGTGTAACGTAAAAATATATAGTAGTGCATTAGTTTTAATTTAATGTTCCTTTAAATTCTATCTAGGCTGCACTGTAACCTGCACACAGCTCATTAAAACCCCCCAAAAATACACTTGCTTTGGTGGACACATGGCCTAAGGTCCCGCTTCCACCTTGCATGGGTTTTCCCGATTTTTGACCCCACATGACTAGCAGAGACACAATTTTGTTTTACTTGCTATAAACAGGCGTTCAAATATGTTATTGTGACTCGCTTTTGGATTTAAATGAGACCATCACCTCTTATGCCATTACATTTTACATGACTTTTGTGCTACTGAATAAACGAACCCACACTGCACAGCTTCTGTGAAAGCAGAGAGCAAGCGGATGAAAAGAGCAAAGATGACAAGTAAAATTTCTATCGTAATTTGTGTTTTAAGATACACTGCAAAAACAAACTAATCAAATTTGTTTTTAACTACTTGCACAAACCATTTCAGATCATGTTTACAATTCTGTGTTCTCTAGTAAACAGAATAACGAAAATGCATATTAATACCAGGTATGCAGGTGTAAACGGTAGTGATGGTAACACTGATGCTATTCGAATTTTCACATTAAAAGTAGTTTTTGTTCTAACCGCCCATAATGGCTATGAGTGAAGGTTTTATTTTAGAAACGGCTTCTATTTCTGCGTCATGGCTAAACAACAGCACAAACTACTATGACAGTTATCATCTAAGGTGCTGTGTGATAATGTATGTGAATGTATGTGAATGTGAGAGTATATGGATGTTTCCCAGTACTAGGTTGCAGCTGGAAGGGCATCCGCTGTGTCAAACATATGCTGGTAATATGGATCTCAAGGTTTCCATATCCTGGACCAGTACGTATCCTGAGCAGCTGCTGTGGTGGTCATGGAGGAGTGGAGAGCATGAGACTGATTCCTGTGATGCTCCAGAGACAGACGAGTCTTCGCTGAGGTTCAGCTTCCAGCCTCAGCCACTGAGACTGCAGCTCTGCACAAGACGTTTGGCCAGCGGAAAAATGGAAATGGTCGTGCCCAATTGAGTCTGGTTTCTCTCGAGTTTTTTTTCTTCACTTTTGCCAATTGGTGAAGTTTTTTTTTTTCTTTGCCGCTGTCGCCACTAGCTTGCATGGTTCGGGATCTGTAGAGCTACGCATCGATGGATTTGCTCTTTAGTGTTTGGACTCTCAGTAGTGATTATTAAACCACACTGAACTGAGCTGGACTGAACTTAAACTTTGAAAATTGAACTGACACTGTTTCAATTTACTATGATCTTTTATTTGAAGCTGCTTTAAGACAATCTACATTGTAAAAGCGCTTATATTCATAAGGTGAATTGAATTTAATTGAATATGTTGGCGGTTCATTCCACTGTGGCGACCCCTGATAAATAAAGGGACTAAGCCGAAGGAAAATGAATGAATAATGGTTATTAATGTTACTAACGGTACAATGTCTTATGCATGAATGCTTTTAAAATTCTCATTCAGTCACAGAACTCAAACACACATGCAAATGATAATTTACAACACAAATCATGCGATTTGTCTATTGCAAATGATCACATTGTGATATCGATGCTGAAAAGATATTGTAGTTTTCAGCTCTCACCTTGAGAGTTCCGTCTCTCGTGAGTATTTCATATCCTGAAGCTGAGTCTGTAGTGTGTTTCTCTCTTCTTTCAGTTCCTGCAGCATTCTCTCATTTTCTGCTTTCATCCTCTCCAAGTGACCATGAGTTTCTCCCTGAGAGACAAACCTGTCCACTATTTCCTATTATAAGAGACACCATGAATAACCAATGCTAACCTGAACATAAAGAAGTAGTCTGTATGCACTAAAATATATATACACTGTCCTCACCTGTGAGTCTGTGACTCCAGTGGCTTCTTTGATGCGCTGGAAAGCTTCTTCAAACGTAGATGTGGTTTCTGCTTCTTCTCCTACTATGATGGCGCTGCGCTGGGCCTCGCTGCTCAGCTCATCGGGGTGCATGGTGGCCCATTGAGGCTGGATAAGAGACATGCAGAAGAAGAAAAGAGATGTACTTAACAAAATCATACTAAAACACTTTGGCTGATCTGGGAAAGCGCAATATGGTGGCTCAGTGGTTAGCACTGTCACCTCACACCATGAAGCTTGCTGGTTCGAGCCCCGGCTGGACCAATTGCCACTTGTGTATGGAGTTTGCATGTTCTCCCTGTTCATGTGGGTTTACTCTGGGTGTTCCGGTTTCCCCCACAGTCCAAAGGCATGCGCTATAGGTGAATTGGGTAAACAAAATTGGCTGTAGTGTATGAGTGTGTGAATGTGAAAGTGTATGGGTGTTTCCCAGTACTGAGTTGTGGCTGGAAGGGCATCCTCTGCGTAAAAACAATGCTGGAATAGTTGGTGGTTCATATGGCAACCTCTGATAAATCAGACTGAATGAATGAATGAATGAATGAATAATTGATGGTATGAATGATCTGAGAAATCTTAAGTGGAAACATACAGAAAGATACACACAATAAAAGTTGTTTCTAATACTTAATATTTGTTATGTTTTAGAATGATTCGTTTTTAAACTGTTTTTCTGGTCTACTGATTTAAAACGGAGTAACTAAACGTTATTTTTAGAGCTTATTAGCCATGAAGAAAGCGTGTGTTTTTCTGTATGACATTTGTGGAAACTAATGTGTTTTTTCAGGATTCTTTAATAAACAGAAATCAATGAACAATATTTAATGAAAATTTGAATATTTTGATGTAAACTTTTAAATATATTTTTGCCTTTGTCAACTTCATGTGTCTTTGCTTAGTAAACTTAATTATTAATTTGTTTTTCTTAATTATCCCTCACATTTGAAAATAATGTGTAAACCAAAATATTCATTCATTAATTTTCCTTCGGCTTAGTCTCTATTTTAGAGGTTGCCACAGCGGAATGAACCACCAACTATTCCAGCAAATGTTGTTAGCAGCAGATGCCCTTCCAGCCGCAGCCCAGTATTGGAAAACACATATACACACTCATTCAAACACACACTCATACACTACAGCCAATTTAGTTGATTCAATTCACCTATAGCGCAGGTCTTTGGATTGTGGGGGCAACCGGATCACCTGCAGGAACATGCAAACATGGGGACAACATGCAAACTCCACACAGAAATTCCAACTGGCCCAGTGGGTACTCGAACCTGCGACCTTCTTGCTGTGAGTGCTAAAATTTTAAGCAGTAAAATTAAATAATCCAAAATGTTACTTGAACATTTTATAATGACATCTGAAGAATGGAGTAACTACTTCTCATATTCAGCATTGCCATAACAAGAATAAATTATTTTAAATTACTATATATATGAAAATAGAAAGGTTATTTTTAATGTACATTATGAATTAAATAAATATTGAGAATAACAGACATTTAAAAATGTAAACATTGCAAACCTTTGATCAGTAGTGTATCTACTGTTAATTAAATTAATTGCCTATTTTAACCAACACTGTTGTGTTTTGAGTTTTAATTGCAGCAGGTGTGTTGTGAATGATTCTTACTCTTCTCTTCATCCTCTCTGCCTGATTCATTCTCTCCACCGTCTGCTTTTTGTAGCGGGAGAGGATTTTCTCTCTCTCTTTGCGCTCTCTGTACACCTGCTCCTCCTGAAGCTGCAGCTCAGCCTAGAGACACACAAACATTACTCTAAGCATTTACATTGCCACAATTAAAAATGTGCTTACTTCATTATCTCATTACATTTTTTAATAATTCATTAAACATGTCTTTACCTTGGCAGCATCCTTAGACAGATGAGCGTCACTGTTCATGACCTGCAGGTCTTTAAACACTTGTGTCTGTCTGTGAATCTCTGTCTCCATCCTGTCTAGCTGTGGCTGAAATGTAAGACTCTCTTCCTAGAGAAACAAATCATAAATGATGCTCATTTCAAGAGTTCACACTTAGCTGATGATTGATTATAAGCAAGTTTGGCATGCTGTCCCGGGAGAGAGCCCTGAGCCCAAAAGGTCCTTGAGCCCTGGGCTCCCTCCCATTTGCAGGGCAAAAGGGGAGCTTTGAGCTCAGGTAGATCTCGACAACTCCCCCTTGATAAGAACTGGTGACTAAAAATTGAATGCTATTAAGAGATATGTAGCAGGATGAAAGATTGAATGTAGTGCTAAATTTAGATTGATCAATTCACTTGTTGTGCATGTTTTTGGAATGTGGGAGGAAACCAGAGGACCTGGGGAAAACCCATGCGAGCACGGGAAGAACATGCAAACTACGCACAGAAACGACCACCGGCCTGTTAAAAGACTAGAACCGGTAATGTTTTTGCTCAACAGTGCTAACTACTGGGCCACTGTGCCACCCTATGGAGGGAAAGGTGAAGAGGTAGGGGTGGAAGGGGGGATTCTTCATAACGAAGATGATCGTAATGAAAAACCCTGGCTTTTTATAGTGGGTTAGGAATGGCCTGATTGGTGGATCATGCATGCTAATGCAGAACCACCCTCGTTCAATCATAATAACGTGCTCCTCTCGAAATTAGTTGATGAATAAACTTCACTTACAATACCATACACTACCATCCAATCATTCTAATATGCAGATTTGGTATTATTATCAATGATGAAAACTGCTTAATAGTTTAATGGACACTAAACCATTGTTTTCAAGATTCTATTATGTGGCAGTCAAAATGTGCAGTTTTATTATACACAGCTCTTTGGATTTACTGTGTGTAGGTGAATTTGCTGTGATACCTGCAGATGTTCCTTCAGTTTCAGGTATCCTCGCATTATGTGCTCCGCTTCATGGCATTTCAGCTGCGTTTTCTCCAAACGGTTCTCAAGAATACGCAATTTCTTTACAAAAAAAAAAAAAAAAAACACACAAGTTCATTCTTCTTTATTTTGCTTGTATTGAGTTTAAACAGTCCACGTAGGTCAAATCATGACACAAAAGAGCCAAAGATACATTTAGGAGGATTTAGATGAGAATCTAAAAGGCAGAGACCCACTTCACCAGTGTTTATCCGATATGCCCATAAAAAAAGTTCTACCTTTTCCTCGTCCTCCTGTTTCTGGGTGTCAGGCAGAGGGCTTTTGTTGTGTGGCTTCATGCTCTGGTACTGCAGCTTCAGGTCCTCTAAACGCTGCCTCTGTTTCTGAGTGGTGTGTTTCATAGCATTCAACTTCTTCATTTTATCACGCACCTGCTTCTCCAGCACTGTACGAGCTGCCTGCATGACAAAAAATGTCTGTCAACTGCAACTTAAATCCATGTGATTCAGTAATCACAGAAAGTTTGCTTAGTTAGAACCAGAAATGACTGAAACAGAAAAAAAGTTAAATTTTATAATGAGTGACTGAAATAACTTACTTTTAATAACTTTGAAATTAACTTCACTTTTAATTCAATTCATGTTAACACAATATTGACCATTCCAGATTTAAAAGGGGTGTGTTATTAGATTACAATTAAAATCTTTTGAGAGTTTGGCTATTGTGGACTATATTTATACAGAGTTAACCTACAGGTGTATAATATACTTTACAAAAAGATGATGTTCAGGGTCTGACAGAATCTGTGGACCTTTTTTGGCAATTTATTTAAAAAATCTAAATGATTTTGGGAGTGTCGTAACTGAAAACGACATAAAAATTATATTTTTACTTTAAAGAATGTAAATTTTCTTTACATTTAAAGAAAATTTTTCTTTAAAATGTAAATCCAGTTAGATCTACTATTTATTAGTAAACAAAACAAGTTTCTCATAAAATATATCTACCAAAAAACTAAAAATATTGCTTTACACCCTGTATTTCAAATAAATCATATAAACATTTGCATATTAGTTTACGATATACCTTAAATTATTATAGGTTCATTCATTCATCTATTTTCTTTTCGGCTTAGTGCCTTTATTAATCTTGGGTCGCCACAGCGGAATGAACCGCCAACTTATCCAGCATACAGTATGTTTTACACAGCAGCTGCACTTCTAGCTGCAACCCATCTCTGGGAAACATCCATACACACTCATTCACACTACGGACAATTTAGCCTACCCAATTCTGCATTTCCTTGGACTGTGGGGGAAACCGGAGCACCCAGAGGACACCCACGCGAATGCAGGGAGAACATGCAAACTCCACACAGAAATGCCAACTGCCCAACTGAGGCTTGATTAAGCAACCTTCTTGCTGTAAGCCTACAGTGCTATTATATATATATATATATATATATATATATATATATATATATATATATATATATATATATATATATATATATATATACAGTTGAAGTCAGAATTATTAGCCCGCCTTTTTTGTCGATTTTTTTTTCTTTTTCAAATATTTCCTAAATATGCTTATCAAAGCAAGGAAATTTTGACAGCATGTCTGATAATATTTATTCTTCTGTAGAAAGTCTTATTTGTTTTACTTTGGCAAGAATAAAAGCACTTATGATTTTTTTAAAAACCCATTTTAAGGTCAAAATTATTAGTCCCTTTAAGCTTTTTTTTCAGCTGTCTACAGAACAGTAGACAGTTGTATATATATTATATATAATATGGTGGGCCTACTAGTGATGTGTTTATTAATAAATTTTCAATCACGTGATCTGATTATAACAATAATACCTTCACAGGCATGTTCCTGAATGGTGCTTTCTCCACACCATAGCCTTGAAAAACATCCTTGATAACTTGTTCATCGCTCTGGACAACATAAAAAAACTGTCAAACCATGCTTAACCTATACTTTAAATTATATATATTTTTAAGATTCATAATGTCTGACCTCAGCCAGTTTCTTGTGCAGGTTTTTGTTTTCTTGTCTCAGCTGTAGGATGCTCTCTCTGTTCTTCTTAATGGCAGACTGAGAGCTTTCGAAATACGCGCTTCTGTCTCCCTCTAGTGGACAGAATAGCAATTCATTAGCAATAACAATTTAAAAAGATAGTGTAATGCCATTTAATATTTAAATAACATTACAGTTTAACGTTTTTTGGAATTTTTGACTATAACGTTAGTTTGAAATGGATATGCTTGCTTTAAACAGCAAACTAACGTTATCGTTACAGCAGCCAGTTTGCTTTTCATTAACTTTACATATTCTCGAATAATTCTTGTTACATATTCTCGAATAATTCAATGTAATAACGTTATAACAATGAGTTATTCGAGAATAAAGTAAAAGGTAATAATGAAATAATAATAAGACGGCAGAAAGTCAATTGTACGTTACCTCCTGAATATTACAAGGTTTTAAGTAAACAGTTTTAGCAGAACTTACCAAGAAGTTGGATTTTTCTTTGGAGCTCCGAAATTTTATCATGAATAGGGACCATAAGGCCACCAGAGACCGACGTGCCGGGCATTATATATGAATATGTTGAGGTTTAAAGTTGAATTTTCGTCTCCTCTACAGCCGAGCAACAACCGTATCCTGTGCGTCTTTAACTGGTTGCCAAGCAACTCAACCAAGTTGACTCATGAATATTCAGTTAAGTACCATTGCGGAAAGCAATACCACGTGCTTGGCCTGGTTAATATTTATTTCACATCACTGAATTATTTACACTTAATATAACGGCTTCGCTTCAGCCTTGATGTAATAACACTTCAGAAACATCAAAAACATATCAAATACATAAAAAAGTTGTCATTACTGTGAGCAAATACCACAGTATCAAACAGAAACACTGTCAGCAGGAGAATAAAATAATTCAGTAACATTAATACAGTCAGATAGTCTTTTCTACATTATATACATATTATAACACCAAATACACAAAAAAGTAATTAGCAAGAACAAAATGAACAAAGGTTTAACACTTGGCTAATGACGTAGCATGAGGGTGCCTGGGCTATAAAAACAGTGCAAGTCAGCTCTCACTCTTATTTTTTATACAATTCTGTTTGTTTGCTCCACTATTCGGCTCCTCATATACTCAATTCGTTTCACCCCCAAACCCCTAAATTTTAGCCGTCTTGGGAGCTACACGGGTGACTCCAGGAGATTGATTTGACTTCTTGAGGGTGGCCATCAGTCTTTCTGGCATGAAGTATGGTCTGTCCACTGTGCCATCGTTGCGTTCAAGATCCTCCACTGTTGAAAAAGTTTGGGTTAAGACAACCAATAGCATAATATATAATAACAGAAGCTGCGCATTCAATAAATCCCTGAGATGTCAACATAGAGAGAGTTCAGTTTATTAAAGCGCTGGGAGATCACATTAACAACATGCAAAGATTGAGAAAAGTGAAGCACAGAGGTAGAAAAAGAGGCAATAGAGCGGCAAACAGCGACAAATATCAGGCATTGAAAAGTTGCAATCTGTTGATACAATAGCCCATCACAGCAGACCAAAAGATATGGGCAACAGCTTTTTCTTTCTTTGCTCTGTTTTTAAGTTGCCATATTTTCCATATCACGTTAGGCATAAATTTAACACAGCAAATTTTACAAAATGGCATTGGTCTTGGCTGGTATCACTGTAAACAGATGTGGGGGGTTTTCTGTTGTTGTTGCTGCTGTAAACATAGCAATACTGCAAACTTTTTTTTTTTTTTGCATTCTTCAATATGCTTAAGACATTGATAAGTAACGATAATTAGGCACAAGTCGAGCACCTACATTACACTTCTACAAGTCCTTAGTTTGAAAACGTTCCACATAAATCACACAAACACAGTCACATTCTACAAGTGCTATGTAGGCATATCTAATAGGGTTTTAGGTCCACGTAACCAACTGTCGTCCATTTAATAAGCTTCTACTTTAAAGTCTGTGTGAACCGGAGGTTGCTGAGACTTTTATTTCAGTATGGTGACGTACTTTCAACTGAAACTGAATATCGAGTAGGGGGCAGGGCTTTTGATTGCGCATCCTTCCCTAGTTCCCTCATAGATAACAAATGTTAGAGGAGCGTGGTTAAGAATATCGCTATGCAGTTGCCATAGAAGCTATCGAGTTGACGTCAACAGAAGAACCTCTACTCCAAACATGGGTTGTTGCTAGATCAGATACGGTTGCGGTCGTAAGTAACCAAAAATATGTATTGTATTTTATTAATGCCTACCGCCTCCACAACTCTCAACCCAACCATCACAGTAACGTAAAAACAGTTTTTGTCCCGAGTATTCTTTATGCTATCTATTAAATTACCCAATAAATTGTATTTTTTAACGCCTACCCCCACCCTACCCCTAAACCCAACCGTCACGGTACTGTAAAAATAATAATTATTGTTATACAGTGTCATAATAAATGCTGCTATTTTGATGTGCATAATCGCACTTCCGGCCAGCCGCATATCCGATCTAGACTTTAACCCAAACATGAAAGCAAACGGTCAGACTTTAATTGAAGATTACTAAAACAAGAACTTTTTTTTGTTCAGTGGATTAACTTCAACAATTTAATTTAATTATTTACCTTAAGAATAACAATGTGAGCTAGCAAAATAAACCGTAAATTTGATTTCATGCGAACTTAAATTAAAATAGCGTTTTTTTATAAGTTCGTATCAGTAGCCCTACTCACACAGTGATACTGGTAAATATCCGGACAATTTCCAGAATGACTTTACGGATAAATTCAAATATGTGCTGTTCACACAGGTAAGGACATTAACCTGAATTTCTTAGGTAAGGACTGATCCGGGAAAGGACCTTTCACACATCCACACCAAAATACCGGTAAATTCTGGCATCATTAACTAAAAACGAGTTATAATCAGCCGCGCTTGTATTAAACATAAAGGAGGTCCATTTTTTTCTTGATGGTTTCACTTTTAGAAGAGGGTAGCCAGAGGTACATATGGGTGCAATTCATCTTTGAAATGAATGCTTCAGGGTGGTATGAAGCCGCCGACGGCTTCTGTTTTTTGTTTTTTTTGCGCTACCAGCTGACCACATACCTTCGTGTGGACGGCTTTTCTGCCGTTACCAGTTTGCATGTTGGCTCACCGCGTACAAGGTGGAGCGAAGTTAACCGCGACAACGGGGTCAGAGTCTGGTGAACAATAGTTTAAAAAAAGCAGGTAAAACAAGAATAAAATAAACAAGTAAATACCAGGGTGAGAAGGTGGTAAGCTGTGAAAACATGGTAAAAATCAGGCGACCGTGAGGTTTTTTTTTCCTGGATTGCTTTTGAAAACGCTGTAGGTTGGGTTTAGGAAAGGGGGTGGGCGGGTCAATCAGGGCTTTTGAAAACACTATCGGTTGGGTTTAGGGAAGGGAAAAAAATTACCTACTGGGATGAATTTTGCACTCTCCAGATACGTATACAGGGGTACATATCCACAATGAGCCTGGGCTGTCAGTTTGTCATCAAATCTTGACCAATCAAATGCTTTCTAGCAAAGGACATGTTCTGCCCCCTTTAAGATGCTTCTCATTTGCTTTTCATTTGATGTGCTCAACCACTCTCACTAGCCGATCTGTGAAAAAAAAGGCTATTGGCTGCTTTTTAAAAAGGGGAGGAGCTACCTACCGTCTTCATGTTTCAGTTGAATTTATGTCAAACGCTGAACAAAAATAAACATTTCAAAGCACTTCACAAGACCTTTCTGTACAAGCCTGCTTCTCTCTTACTTAGTGTCAAGCCGTCCATTTTGACAAGTGATTATTACAGTTCTCAAAGCTGATTGATTGAGTAAACATTATGACTCAAATGAAGGAGGTTCTTTTCAGTATCTACTAATGGCTTCCCAAAGCCACCAAAGTGCACCATTTCCCAAATCAGTAGGCATCTTTGAAACATTGTATGAGCATTCTTACGCAGCTACTCCTGAGGGGTGAGCAGAGTATCGCTCTCCTGAGGTCCGTTTTCTTGAGGCTTGGGTTCCTCTGGTTCTGGTGCTTGCAGGTTCTCAGCCTGTGGTGGTTCTGCTTGAGCGCCTGGCTCCTCTTTGTCTTCTGCGTCAACCTCTTGTGGTCCATTTTGCTGTGGCGTTGCTTGTGTTGGTTCATGTTCTTGAGCAGTCACCTGCTCTTCAGGTTTCTCCTCAGCGACTGCAGAAGCTTCTGGAGCTTGTGTTTGTGTTTCTTGAGGAGCTTCTTCAATGTGCGTCTCTTGATTGAGTGGTGTCTCTTCTTCTTGATCCTGTTTCAGAACAGTCTGTTGCTTGAGCTGCACCTCTCCATTCTCCTGGAGAGGGATTTCTTCTTCGGCTTGCACCTGTATGACAGGCACCTCCGCATGGTCTGTTTCTTCTATGCTTTTTTCGATAGATAAAATCTGGTGCAACTCAGGAGACATGAAAAAGGGTTTGTCGGAAGAGCCGTCATTTCTCTCCAGGTCTTCGCCTTGAGTTTGCGTTTGTATGGGATGTTTTTTTAAGTGTTAGTGTTTTAGAGCGCACGTTGCAGAAAAAAGCACAAGGACGCATGATTGGACACAATCATGTAGCAGGTAGAAAAAAAAGAGAGGGAGAGAGAGAGAAAGAGAGGAAATGGTTAGACATAAAGCAAGCCAAGTGCCCCAAAAGCATTTGTGATTTGCAGGTACGTCAACAGTGGGTGCTGGAAGTCAAAATGCCATCATTTTCTCCATACAGAAATATGCCTTCAAAACAAACCATGAGCTCTGAAGCTGAGAAACAACATGTGATAATGTAGTATAAATGTGATTTCTGATAATATAGCATAAATGTATGTTTTGTGTTGTTTATTTACAAAAGTTTAATGGTCAAATTGGAATATATGAATTAATCAACCCATGATCCTTAAGAAAGCTCAATGCTGTTTAAGTCTCTTTAAGGCAAGTCATTTCACTCAGCGACCATCTTTGAAACGCCATTTGGGCCAGTATGCTCGAGCATTCAGTTTGAATGGGGAAACATCATATTCTTCAAAATTGCTTGCCAAGCTTACAATTAAATTTTATAATAGGAATTACCAATAAAATAAAACAACAACTGTCTATTTAGTTTCATTTCTAAACAATTGAATTACGCAAAATCTGCAGAAACTCACGTCTGGTCCAAGCCTCTCCCGGAGGATCGTCAGTTTATAGCAAATGATGATTAGCTTCTGTACTAGAAGCCGGGGCTTGATTCGCTATGCTGACTGTTACACTTTTCCCTATTCAAAACTATGCAAGTGACATGTCTTGTGTACTCAACAGTCTTTGGTTTTAACCAGTTAATATACTAAACTTTGTGTTCTTATATCCCTCTTATACTGTTGATGCATGAATAAACCTCAACTAGACTATATAGCACAACTCCTGTATCTTAACTGCAAGAAGCTTTGTGCTTTGTTTCTTTTGATATGAAACTTTTTATATGCTTTATATGATCTGTTTGTGTTGTCTTAATTATTCAATGTATGTTTAGATATATCTGTCATGATAACAAGCAATGAAACTAAGTGTGTAAATGAAAATATTTTCACAATGAATTGGAGTACATTAAATTAAAGGTGTGCATTTATGTAAAAGCTACCTTATTAGTTTTTTACATTGGAA